CTTTTCAATTTAATTTTATGCATTTTCATTCAAAAGATGCCTGCTGAGCCTCGAATCTGTAGAACACATGAGGCCATATGAATCCAGTGCAGCTCAAAACTTTGGGTGCCGCTAGGTGTTCACAATTCCCTCCTTAATCAAAACAGTTAAATAAATAAATAAATAAATATGTAGGCCTAGGAATGCCTTTTGTAAATAAATAAATAAATAAATATGTAGGCCTAGGAATGCCTTTTGTGAAGGTGCTGAGCACTGTGCAGCAGTAGGACAGCACCTGAGGCTTCCTACATGGGTGGAAATGGCAGCCTGAAGCACAGGTCAGTGAATGAACCACCACGGAGGGTGAATAAATGAAACACCTGGTAGGATAAAATGAAAGGCTGTAAATAAAGGGGAGGTTTCTGTACTTTTTTTGTCCACTACAAACCAGGATCTCCCTGGGTGTAGGCTGCCTTCTAGATGGACACAAAACTCATTGCTGAAACTCTCTGGCAAGGCATGTCCAGCCTCCACCGGCTCAGGATGACGCAGCCTTGGCTCATCGACCCTAAAATGAGTGGTGTGTCCTCTTCAAGCAAAGGATCTGGGACAAGTCACTGCTCCTGGAGATCTGCCCTTGGTAACACACACACACAAACATAGCAGGCAGCATGGCCAGGAGGATCAAGGTCTTGAGTGAGGGTGAAAGAAAAAAAGCGTTACGACACACACATCGCCCCAGTGAACTCTCTGAAGCACACGGTGTTTTAGGCTTGTTATCCTATAACCTTTAGGAACATATTTCATCAGCTCTTCCCTGAGACAAGAAATCCCCTCCCTGCAGTCAGACCCTGCTGGCCAGGCCCGGAGGCACCATGAGAGTCCAGTGGCATTGGGAATGATGGTGGGACATCTGCCACGGGGAAAGGAGGCAACAAACTCCTGCTTGTGAGCATGGTCTGGGCACTCCAGTGCCTGCCCCAGGCTCTGCCTCGCTTTCTGGGGTGCACTGGCCTCCTCTCAGGCACAAGCCTCTTACCCACTGCCTGCACAGCTTCCCATCCCTCATCCATGTGTTTTCCACCCACCACCCACAAGATCTGAGGGCAGCTGAGGAGGAATCCCAGCCATGACCATGAGCAGCCAAGGTGTCCCCTGTGGGCTGAAGTCAAATGGGGCAGGTTGTTTCAGAGCCAGACAAGGAGAAGTGGCAGAAAACAATTTCTGAGAGGGGTGTTATGGGCTTGTTTGTTTTAAGGATAATTCTGCCAGAAATTAATAATGTGGGTTTTTCTTTTGAAGGGAAATCTCATTTCATTTAGTTGAGGCTTTTTCAGTAGAGAAAATAAAATTTCAAACTTTCAAGACTGTACTGGTTTTTTTTTTTTTTTTTTTTTTTAAATGGAGAAATTTGCTTCTCAAAAAGGAAATCTTTCTGCCTTCCTAGAGAGGTGATTGACTCCCCAAGCATATTGTTGTTTAAGATGCCCTTAAGGTCAATGCCCTTAGCAACGTGCTGTAACTTTTGGTCAGCCCTGAAGTGGTAGCACGAGCACTGTGGGACAAATTGGCTTCCAGGGGTTAACCAGGGGAGCTGTTAAACTGGGCATGGCTTGGGCACAGCAATCTGAGGAGGATTTAGACATTTTTGTGTTGATTTTCTCGTTGCATTTTTCAGCCTGGAGCGTGTCCCAGCTGTCCAGGACACCATCAGTGGGGTGAGAACAAGCTCTCCTAGAATAAAAAGACACAGAGATGCTCCAAGTCCCTGTCAGTTTGGAGCTTTAGGGCAGAGGATCTGCTGGGTCTCTCGGCCAGGCAGTAACTCTGCTTCCACACAGTTTGGAAAACAGAGATTTTTTTTTTTCCCTCAGAGAGGTTATAGCAAACGTTGGCTGTGAGGAGACTGGTTTGCACCTTCCAAACCCTCCTGGTTCTAAGTTTGTCTTGCAACAGAGCCAAGAGTATTGCAAAAATATGTACAGTTAGCTGTTTTATGTGTGTGCCTGTGCCTGAGTACACCTGTAACTCCTGATTACGAGCCAAAACAGTCAGAAAGCTTTTTTTCTGTGCATGTGAGTTTGACTTCTCACTAGCAAACACATCAACTACAGCACGATGTCTGACTTGCTGATTACAGCTTCTTCATTTGTGAAGATGACTAATAAGTGGTTTTGGCCAGAAGTTTCTATTTTCTGATAATGGTAACTGTTGTTTTTCGCACCACAGGTGCTTTACAGATGTGTGTCTCTGTTTGAAAAGAGAGGGAAGCTGTGTTGGCTTGCTCTGGAGGGTATTTGAAGCCAGTATTTCATGTAGGTTTATTACAAAGACTGGTTTCTTGCGCTATCACAGCACCCACACACAGACCAGGACTCCAATGCTCCAGTTTTTCAGAGTACAAAGGACACCTCTGCCTCAGCACTGCCCTGGAGAGCTGAGAGAAAGGAAAGATTGCCTGCTGCTCTGCCATGTTGCCTAGAAAATGATCATCCAGGCTGTTTTATACACACTTCAGAAAGTCTTTGCTTCACTTTGCTGGTGCTGAACAAATCTTATTCACAAGGGAGAGGATTGCACATACAGAAGGGTGGCTCAGGAGGGCAGGACCTGCCTGGTGTCCTTTGGACCACAACCTGGAGCTGGGATGTGCCTGATTCCAGAACAATCTCTTGGAGATATATATATAGATATATATATATATGATAGTGTGGGAAACAGGTAAACCTTCACAGGAAAACTGAACAGTGATGATGGGCTCACACTCCCCACCAGCTCTCTGCTTCGCTCCCACATGGAGCAGATGCTGTTGTTATTGCTGCTCAGAGGCAGCTCTGAGAGGAACAATTTCCATCTACAGATACTTCTGTGGCATCACATAACCCCTGCATTAACACACACTAAATTTTCATTGCACATTGGCTGCTGGGGTGTGTGTGTGGGGGTGTTACTGATGATTTTAAAGGAATTGTTTCCCTTCCCAAGACCTGCAGTTACACTGTACCCTCAGTTTGATCTGATTATCAAAGCCATACTAAGAAATGAAGGGAATCACAGGGCTGTGGGACCTCCCAGTTTAAAAAAAAAAAAGAAAAAAAGGGGGAAAAAGGTAAAATCCCTTGTTTTCCAACCTAAATAGTGTGACTCAGAAGTCTAGGAGTAGCAATGTAAGGCTGGGGTGCACATGCCACTGTTATGGTGCTGAGAGTTGCATCCAACAGGTCACAGGAGGTTCCTTGTAAGACACCTACTATAAACTGAAACAACACTGGGATGTAATATTCACTGTTATTCATTGCATTAGGGAGAGAAAAGGATTAAATCACACTTGAGACATTTGTCTGCCTGCCCCAGAAAACTTCATTTTCATGCTAAGTCTAATTTTAAAATGTCACCTTGAAAATGTGTGACATTTTAATGGGCTGATTGCCAAGATCCTCAAATCCTTTAATTTGCATATGAATCACAACGTTAAATATTATGGGAAAAGTATAAAACCCTAGAATTATGAGAGAATGCCTTGCATTACCCTTGGTTAAACATACGTTGGGAGGACTGTCTCCTGGAAATCTAATATTAACAAAGGCAAATGAGATTAAAAAATGCTGTGGTATTCCCATTTATACCATTAGCTGGTTGTGATTGCATGTGGGTTTTTCTTGCAGCTGCCTAATAGCAGCCTGGGTGTTGCCTGTTCTTTGAATAAGCCTCACAGCACATTGCAGCATCATGAGGATGGGTTGCATTCCCCTCTCCCACATTTCTGACGCAGCTCCAAGAAAGCCAGCGGGATTTCATCAACGCCCTCTGATCGTCTCTTCTCAAGTAAACAGTTTTCAGGTTGCTCCTAAAAATGATGGGGCCAAAACAGGCCCCAGGGGCCATAAATTCCCAAAGATCCATGCACTTCATTTAGGGAAGGAACCTGGACTGTGCAAGTACCTCCTGTATGCCAGGGTCCATGACTAGGCTGGTGGGAGTTACATGGATAAACACTTGCTGGATTAGGGCTTGTGGTTAGAGAAAAGCCTTCCAACTGAAACAAAACTTCCTATAAGGATCTAACTCTTGAGAAGTTTTAGTGAAGTTTTCCTACAGCAGGTTTTCTCATCTAATGTGAGTGGCTCAGTGCAGGACTTGGCACGGCCTAAGCAACTGTTTGTAGCTCCTGTACAGCTCATCTGCTCTGGGAGCTGATTTGTGACAGAAATCCGCTTGAATGGAGATGGTAAATTCAATTTACTTGTCAGAAGGAAGTGAAAAATTCCACGGCAGAACAATCTGGGTCACAATGTACTTTGGATTAAAAGATTTAGTAAAGAAAAAGGGCCCAAACCACATAATTCTGATTCAACTTTCAAGCACGAAAAGTTTGAGGTTAATCAAAACTAGGGTTTAGTTCATCCATTCATGAAGATATCTGTGTGAGTTGGAGCTCATCCTGTGCCTGGATCTTCCCATTTCCCTTGGGATCTGTTCAAACCCAGGGACCAGACCCTTTCCCAGTTTGCAGCAGAGAGCCCAAAACCACACAGAAAAAGCTGTTTAAAGGAGAAGGCACCAACAGAGAGAACTGGCTGAGTCTCTGTTGGCTCTCTGGAAACTTGCAGGTAGGAACAGGGTAGAGAGGCGAAAGTTTCACAGTTCTCTGAATCTCCCTGAGAGGCTGAAGGGCTGCTGAAATAATACAGATTTTTGCAAAAGAAAAGAGACCAACTATGGGGAAACCTGTGGTGCACAGGTGTCAGTCACAGTCTGTTCACACAACTGCAACACCGGGCAGAGCTTGGCTCCCGACGTTTACAAAAGCCCTCAGTGGGACTGGAGTTCTTTTGGTGCTGCACTTGTGGTGCATCTGTACCTCAAAAATAATTCTAAAGCCTCTCCTCTGCAGGAGGACCATCCCTCCCCTCTCCTGTACAGCCCATTTCCTCGTGTTCGTTATGAAGGCATCTGTCTTTAGGAAACACAAACAGCTCTCACGTGCATGCATGTGCAAATGAAAACAAGGACAACACCCATTTCTGTAGAAGAATATATTATTTAGCAGATCAGTTTAAAAGTAAAAAAAAAAAAACCAAACCAAAAAAAACCTGTACATCTTTGAAGGGGTTTTTTGCTGCTTTTTTGCATCAACAAGGATAAAAATGTGTTTGCACCGTGGTTTCAGCTTTGTGCTCCCTTCTTTGCTCATGCTGAAGGATCCCATGATGTCCAGCTGTACCAGACCACAAAGCAACCCTGCAAACTCACTAAGGTTTCTTCTCATTTCTTATAGTTAAAAAAAAAAAAAAAAAGAAAAAAAAGAAAATTGCATCCACTAATGCCGGGCTTCTGAATGTACTGTGAACACTACAAAATTCAGGTAATAATGCAGAGAAATGTGTCATTAGGGCCTACTGGGCAAACAAAAATGTATGCCAGGACCCTGGTCAGTAAACAAGCATCTGTTAGGCTGTGCTGTAATTAGCATACTGCTGTACACATAGAGAGAGTATCTTCACTAAAACAGCTTCTTCTGGTGTTTTTGGGCGCCAGTGGAACACTTCCCAGAGGAGGCTCCTTAGCTAAGCTCCGATTTGTCTCTGCACGCTGTGGGTGACAGGCTGGTCACCAGAGAGGCAGCTCTGCCGGAGGTTTGAGCCGGTGCACTGTCCGCAGGGGGAATCCCAATGGGAGGCTGTGCCGGGAATGTCGGAGCGCCGGGAACCCTCGGCGTCTGTGCAAGGAGGTTGCAGGCTGCAGATGAGGTGCTGGGGCAGGCAGGACATCCGTCCCTGCCATCCCTGCCACTTCTCCTCATGCACGGTCCCAGCTGGATTTCGACGCGGCCGCCCGCGCCTGTTTGGCCAACACAGCATTTCTCAAAACCGGAGCAACCTCGGGGCTTGTGATTTTTCTTCAAAGGCTTTTCTCGTCTCACTTTTCGGTGCTGCCAGTTGTCAGACTTTCACTCTTCTGTTTCTGCAGCTGAAATGAAGAGCAAGGCAGGATTAGTGCCCCCTGACTCACGGGGTGCCGTGTTCCAGCACTGCTGTGAGTCACACGCCTGGCTCCCCACAAGGCATGGGCAACATTTCTTGGGAAGTAATAGCTGGCAGCTTGGAACATCACAGGCACTCTTTCATCCAAACGACTCTTGGATGCATGTCCTGAGCAAACTCGGTCTTTCTCATCATCTACTGCACTAGGCTCACAGATTATTAATTAAATCCTCTTGTTTTGGGGTATTTCTGAATTCAAGCAGCTCCTATTTTCCTAAGACCTTTTGTGCCAATACACTGCAATTAAAGCTCCATCAGTTTGTATAAAAATGCTGTTTTGACAGCTTCTGTAAACCAGAAGTAAAGTCTCAGCTCGAATTGAAAGATGAATAAGACTCAGACAGTCTGACAGTTGTATTTGAGTTCTTTCTCCCTCGTTTGAGAAATGCTCCTCTCTAAACTGAAGAATCCTGAAAGACTTTGTTCTCCTTTAAAACACAGTGCCCTCAAAGCATGTGCTCTTTGATTAACCAGCCTTAGTATCTGAGCTCCTGAGGGGCTTTTCCTCCAAAGCACTTAGGAGGAGGTGGGAGCTACACCAGAAGGCTGCTATTCCACTCTTGGATGATCAAGTGAATGAACCTTAATTTCCCACAGAGCTAACAATATCAGCACAACTTGTGCTCCAGGGCACTTCCCAATTTATTTTAATGACAGAGTGGCTGATAGCATCCCGACTACATAAATGTTTTCATGTCATAAAACCCCTACTCTGTGATGCCACTTGGGCAGGTTTTGTCGTAGACCTCCGCAGGGAAAAGTGGCCCTCCCCTGAGCCCATTTGTCAAAACGAGAAATGCCCTGTAAATGGAGGTCCCCACTGAGCCATAAAATGGTTGTGTGTTTAACCCTCCTGGGTGCTGTGCATGGCAGAGTAGTTCCTCATAAAATTTCAAGCACATCCTTGATGGCAGACACGTGACTGGAAGTTCCTTCCCAGAAAATAAACTTAACGCATTGGTGGTGCAGTGCCTTGAACTGCCCAAGCCCAGGACATTTTGCTGCAGTCTAGCCCAGCCTAACTCCTTCCCAGGGGCTGGCAGATCCTTCCAGGAGGAGGTGTTTGCTAAGCAGCTCCCTTTCCATGGCCACACTTGTGTGGTACCTGGTGGACTCTGCAAGGACAAGTTCTCACTGTTTGTAGCACACACCTCTCCCCAGCCAGGTGTACTGGGTGTGATTCTCATGATAATGACTATGCTGTAAGCATTCCTGCTGTTTGGGAATTAAGCTGCTGTTTAATTACAATGTTTGGCATATTCGGTCACAATATTTACTATATCAAGGGGATATTTAGAGTTTACCTCTTTTGTAGCATCATCTATCTGTTTTAATCCCTCGTAGTGGTCTCTGGATTCCCACAGGGGCTGGAGCATCACCTCCTCCACTTCTGGGAATAGCTGGGTGAAAACAAGAGAAAGAACATCAACATTTCCTGTTGTATTCATGAACTTCCCACGTTCTTTCATCGTACGTGCTAAAAACAGGGTGGAAGGCAGGGTGTGAACGGTGCATCCCCATTTCCCTGGCTCTGGGAACAAGTGATGGAGCAAACACTGGATTGCCCCTGCATTCCCCACTTCTGCTTCTGGCCCTGGGTGCCTCACCTTTGTTACTGTCTCAAACATGGGGATGAGGACGAACTTGAGGAAGCCGATCTGTGCCGTGGGCTTGGTCACTTTGTCGCGGTCCATGAACGGCGCCACTGGAAGCCCCTCGGATTTTTCTCGGTCGCTCTGGAACGAATCCAAAATTAAAAACATAGATCTTGGCTAGGAGCCCGTGAGGAGAATGAAGTCCTGCTGATCACAAGCTAAAGAGCAGTAGCCTTCAGACACAGATCACAGAGGTGTTTGAAGATAGCACAGAATAGCAGCGTGCTTCCCTCGGGCCTCCCTCAGTGAATCTGCTTTGTTGAGAGCAACATCTGAACAAAGACAAGTCTGCTCAGTTATTTCTGCTCAGCACTGGCATGAAAGTGTTCACCTCCAGGCTTACAGGGCATCTAATTCCCTTTGCAAACCCACTGGACTTGTGAGATAAAACATTTCAGAGCATCCAGAAAGGTGGTAATGGCTCTTGCTGCTCTGGAAGTGAAGGAATAGGTCTGTGATTTCCTCATAATTCTCCAGAGTGATTATTTTCAGCTATTCAACCAGAAATTACATCTCCTTCTTTACTAATAACAATTAGAACTAGTTCTGGCTAGCCAGGTCAGTGGAGAGTAGTTCCACTGAGTGCAAAGGGTTTGCCAAGCTACCTACTTAACCACATAACTCACTATTTCTATGTGGGTTCATGGGTAAGGAGGTCATGGACTATGTCTGCAAAAAGGACATCCTGTAGCAGATTTTATCTCCCACTTATTCGATCATTCAGCACATGGTGCCTTTGCTGGGTGGCCAAAACAGTAAGGCACAGAAATGCTGTAATTTTGAGGAAAAACTGGACACCCAGTGAGCCAGAAATTATTCTGACGCACCACCTCGTCTCTTGGAGAGGCCCTCCTTGTCATGCACCCGATCAAAGTGCAGACAGAGCGCCCAGGAAAGCTGTGGCATCTGCTCCCCAGGGCACTGCAGCTGTGTGTGGGCTGGGATCCCAGCACAGCTCGGACACGCTGCTCAGGAGCCCCTGTGCCAGAGACAACCGAGGGCTGCTCACCCAGGGATCCCTTTGTGAGGCACCAGAAACTGTGCCCAGCTGGGAATCCAGTGAGCAGCGATGCTTGTGAAGCTCAGAGTCTGACTTTGCACACCCCAGCAAGTTTTCTGCTTCCTCTTCAGGGGAATGTTCACATGCAGTGAAAATAAACTAGTTCCTCTGTGATATTGGATATAATTTACTTGACAGCTTTATCTTGCCGCTGCTCTTGTCCTTTTGGCTCAAAAATAATATATTTGTCAAAAAGCCATGCGAGGCAGCTGCTTTACAGAGAACAAGCTTCAGCCTGCTGGCATTAGGATTTCTGGGTTGCTTTTGTCTTTCTTCTGAAATTTGCAATCAATTGCACTTGGCATCTGAGCAAGTTCTATTTCTGGCTTCCTTCTATGACTTTCTCTAATAGAAACCCTTCCATGGAATCAGGGAATGGTTTGGGTTGTAAAGGACCCTAAGGATCATCTTGCTTTGACCCTCTACCATGGTCAGGGACACCTTCCACTGGTCCAGGTTGTTCAGAGCTAGAGCTGGACTGGGCTGTCTGACAAAGAAGCACCTGTAGGTGAGGTTGGGCTTCAGGAAAAGCAAGAAAACTGTGCAGTTGCATCTCTCCCTCATTCTTACCTGCATAAAATACTCCTCCAGTAAACAATCCACCCAGGGCTCCGCTACTTCCATCGGGCGGACTTCGTTGGAGATATCACAGCATTTTATCAGCACCATCTTCAGCTGGAAGAGGATAATACTTTAATACTATAGTTTCAGTGCCAGCCCTTGTCACCCCATGCACAGCTTACAGTGCAGTGGGAGGCAAAGCTTTCAGCCAGAAAGGACAGTTTCAGGATTAAGTCAGAGGTCTTAAATGATCTGGGTGCTTCTCCCCTCTCCCAGCTACTCTGTGTAAATCGCTTTTTCCCTCTCTGTCCTGGTTTCCCTGCCTGTAGCACTGGGATGTGTCACAGTGGGACGTGCACTTATCTGCTGCCTGAAGAGATTTGGGCACAAATGACTATTAAGCTTTCTGTGGAGCACTCAGAGGCAGCAGGGGAAAGATTTCCCTAGAAGTCAAAGACAACTGGATTGGGAAGTAAAGGAGTCTAGAATGTATACTCTTGTGGATATTTTTTTGCCCCACAGTAATGGACCTGATGGGACTCCAGGATTTCTAGAGCCTGAATAATCTCTTTTATATAGAGCTCTTCCAAATTGCAATTATTTCTGGTGGGGCAGAGAATGTAGGAAGGATTCTTTCTTTGATATTATATATTGAATCCTGGTTTTTAAACAAACAAATATTAATCTAAAAGCTTTCACACTTATGCACAGAAAAATAACAATCCACAAAACCTCCTTACACAGGTCATGTGTTCTTCATTTGAATAATCAAAATTCTCCATTTTTTCCTTGAAAGAGTCCAGTATTTCTGCGTGTCTCGCCATGTCTGTAGCCAGGATTAACGTAATTATCCCCTAACAAAGAAAACATGTTCACATATTAGCTTGACATTCTTTACAAAGTCTACTATTGCAGAGCTAAGCAGGGTCTTTCTCACACACAGAACGCCTCAGATACATTACATTGTTCGTAATGAAAGGGGAAGTTTCTGACTTGGAACTGTCAAGGAAACCTGGAAGAGGGTGATAAAAAGTTCATGGTACACGAAAATGATTGATCTGTAACACTGCTGTGATATTCCAGAGACACACTGAGGTTTTTCCTTTCTGACTGACTAATTGTAGAAAAGCAAACTGTACAGCAGGGTGTTAAAAGCCACACTCTGATTGCCCAGATCCACTTTTGGCTGCTTGGAAGGCACTGTGGGTTCTGCTGCTGACTCTCAGTGACCCTAATAAGAGACGAAAATCATTAGATGATGGATGTCATCTGTGCTCATCCTCTTTGCATTATGGGCTTTGAAATCCTCAGATGCAGTCAATGTGTCAGGAGCTCTGCGTCCTCCTGCCAGGCAGAGTTTATGACGTGAAAACATGTGGTTAATTTAAAGCTGTGGGGTTTTTGTACAGATTGATCCATTTGGGCCCCGTGCCTGCTTCCCATGCCCTGGCAGAATCAGTAACTACAACCAGACCAGTGTCCAAGCCCTTGTATTAGTCTGCTTTTTCGTTTGGTGTGTAAGGAAGGTGTAATGTGGAAATTAAGACTGAATTTTGGCCCTTCAAGCCCTAATGGGAACTGTAGCATTGTTCACAGTCTCAGAGCTAACTGATGACTCCCAGTCCACCAGAGCCTCTTCCAACAGTACAAGTGCTCTGCTTTGCCCACTTTGAAGCCATTAATAAAATGTTCCCTTGAAGCATAAACTTCTACCATGAGAGTTTAATCCTTCCCCAGCCCAGAGCTAATTGGTTCCTTGGATAATATAAATATATCCTCCCAAAATGCCATAGGCTTTAATAGTCAGCATGTACTCATTATTTCCCAGCCAGGCATCCCAGGGAGTAGTGCTGCTGTGGAAATTTTCCAAGAACCCTTCTTGGATCCTTCCAGTGTGAGGGGCTTTTTCAGTCCTGCCCCTGCAGTGAGAGCGATTCACTCGCGGGGAAGTCCGTGGGTGTTTTCACCTCCAGGGGCAGTTTGTGCAGTGCAGGTGGGAGGCAGAATTCCTACCTGTCTTATCTGTTTGAACTGGTCCTGGTCAACATTGGAGAAAATGTTGTATTCCGGCTGGGAGATGATCTGGAAGGCCACGGCACAGTGGTGGTTCTCCAGCGGGGAGATGTCGTTGTAGCGCACGGCGAGCTCGGTCCGCGCGTTTATCTGGTAGCTGATGTGGAGAGAAACAGTGAGGGCTCCTGCAGACACACACCAGCTGCTCTAAACCACGCTGCTTTCTCTTATTTACGTCCTTCTCAATGCTTATTCAATTAGCTGAGGTTCGGTTTTTCGACTGTTGGTACTAAATCGGATTTTTAGAGAAAATAGATATTACTTTGATATCACCCCAGGCACTAATTCCCCTACAGGTTTGGTTTTTGGAGTTTGTTTGGTTTTTTTTCCTTCTTTAAATGTTACCAAGTCTCTGTAGTTTAAAATGATATAGGAAAACAAAACCAAAACCAAAACAAAAGGAACTGTCTGGGCTCCATTCGACCCCCACTAATATCAAATTGAGAGAGTCCCACTGATCCCAGTCAGAACTGGTTTCTGCCTTTATTTAATGAATGGTTACAAATAAGTTAGGTTCTCCCTCTCTTTTTCACACACACATACATGCACACAAAGGTGTCCGTGGGGCAACAACAATAATTCCCTCACATGGCAATAAATAGGGTAATATGAACTTCATCATTTATAACTATGAAATAATGCATAAGTTAAATTCCCCTTTGCATTTTAGTGTCATTATTCCATTATAATAATTTATACCTCTGTTAACATGTGTAAAGTATTTTTTTCACTTGTTTTCTCAGGAGTTGGGGGAAAGTATTGGAAGAAATCTGAAAAATAATTTTCCTTACAGAGCCAAGGACAGCTGGCAACCCCACCCCAGACCTGAGTTTGCTTCATGAAGCTCTGCCTTGGCCCACGTGTGAGGGAACAGCAGGGCCTTGGGGAAAGGACATGGCCAGTTCAGGCTGCAAGAAGGAAAACCTGATCTGCCAAAAAATGCCAACTGGTATTACCTTCCCGATAAATTTCAAGGGAGGAGAAAGCAAGGGACAGACTTACGTGTTGTTATAGCCTGGATGGTCCAAGTCATGGCATACTGCTGCAGTCATGAGAATCAAAATGTCAATCTGGGAAAATTTCTCCTGTGAAATGCAAAACATTAATGGAATATTATGATTCCTAGTTCCCCTATCATCATAAATGAAAAGAAGTATAAACCCCCCTTTATTTACTCTCTGGAGAAATGCAAATCTGAGCAAAGAGAAGTATTTTTCCATAGATGAATTTACTTCAGCCAAGAAAGAGAATTCTGCCTTCCCTTCCAGTAAAAATGACTCAGATTTGCCTTTGTTGCATTAAATAACAGCAGCTCAGAGGAGGCAATTTTCTTGAGACTTGCTATTACAGCAGAGATCATATGAAAGCACTGAGATATTAGAACAGTCTCTCACAAGTCATTTGAGCACCCTGATTAGTTAAGGGAGGGCTGGGGGATGGCTCAGTTGCCATTGCATTCTGCATTAACTAAAGTCAGGAAAAGAGTGGGAAAAATTAAATGTTGTGTTCCCACAGCTTTTCTGAACAGGATCAACTTCCATTAAAGCAAGATTTTCTTCATATTCCTGCTGGCAAGAAAATATATTTAACCCAGGAGCTGAGGTGTTTAACTATGGAGAAGAAAGGGAGGAATAAAAGCAGTTTTGTACAGAAATTAAATTAATATATGAACGTAGGTTATCCAGACAATGAAATTAACTGATGCCTATGGTTTTGGACAAAGTACAGGTCAAATGTGAATCCTGCATACAGCACATGCCAGGGATTATTTGCAGGAGCTCATCCAGGTGCCAGCACACATGTGGAGAACATTCTGTGTCCCAGATGAAGACCATACCCACAGGCCATAATTCAGTAGGCTTTGGGATCTGATTCCTGGATGTTTCACACTATCAGAGAGCCAAAAGAGCTTCTGTGTACAAACTGGGGATATCCAGGAGGCGAATTTAGCTTCCAAGCAGTCTCAGAAAGCTGTGTGGGTGCTTGGGGTCTGGCATGGGAGGGCTGTGAGTGGGCCCCACGATGGAAATGGGGTGATGCTGTTGAGTTGGGGTCATACCTGGAGGCTGCAGAGCGAGATCATGCTGTACATCATCTGGGTCACGCAGAAGCAGTGCCGGAAATTGTGGAAGGGGTTGTTCCTGTAGTTGTCGTGAATACACAGCTGCAGAGAGAGGGAATGAAGCAGTCAGGGACAGGAGAGCTGTTTTCCAGTGACCCTGGAATCACTGTATACCTCTAGAGGAGTCCTGAGGAGCTCAGCAGTCTTTTCTGCTTGGACAGAGTGACAGCACAAGCCCCTCTGATAGTCTCTGCCTTCCTTTGGGGGGGACGGTGAGAGATTTTGGTGTTTCAAGAATTTTTCCGCAGGTAAAGCTCGCAGCAAATTCTCTCTCATACCAGCCAGCAGTGGGTAAACCTCCCAGCACAGCTGTGAGTGCATCTCAGTTCTCAGACAGGGACTCTGTGCTCCCGTGCTGAATTTGTATTTCAAACCGTGCGGTGGTTAAATGGCAACTTTGGGGAGCGTGAAGAACTCAGAACTCCCCATTCCCCTCTTTTGCTGAGTGCAAACTGCAGCTCTGAAATCCTGGAGGCTGAAATGTGCCTGTTACTTCATCTGCAAATGCTCAGAGGGGGCCCTTTGGAGCCCTTTGTTGCTTGGCAAAGTGAAGATGTGAATGCACTCGCTGTAGCACACCTACACCTGTGTGGATTTCCTAAGCCAGGCAGCACGGGAGAGATTTAGCTGTTATGGGCTCACGGGGCTGCTTGTTGTGTGGTTTAACTTTCTACAGATCCTGGCTCTGTGCCCTCATTCCCCAGGCAAGATAAAGCCTGTCTTTCCCTGTGTCCTCGCTACTGTCAGCCAGGCTGGCTGAGTGAAGCTGGCACAGCTGGGTTAACACATGGCACAGTCACTATTCCAGTGCTCTGGATAGCCTTTGGTATCCTGTTCTGCACAAAAATGACAAGCACTGGCAGCACTGCTGGACCCTTCTGCTGAATCCTCCATAGCCTGGACCCTAGAGAGCCCTTATGCACGTGCTTCAGGTACTGAGCCTGAATTAATGTCATGGACAGAATTCCTGTCCCTTCTCCAGTTAATAGTGAATTTACTTCAGGAGTCCTCGTGCCCCACCAGCATCAAACCCTTTAACCTGGGATCTGCCTTCCAGGAAGCCTCAAAGCTCTGGATAAGGCGAAGAGAACTGTGGGTTTTCACTGCTTATTTCATATTTGGGGGGCTCCATTGCAAATGCTGTTCAGGTTACCCTGCAGCAAGGTTTTTAGGCATTTATTTCAAAATGAATAACTGATGGCAGAGGATGGTTGGCAGCCAGGCTCACAGGGGGTGGGCAGTAGCTCACAGCCTCCATATGGACACGCTGGCCATGCCCAGGCACTGTGCAATGTACACATCCAGCACTGGAGCCCAGGGCATCCCAGGGGACTCCTGACTCAGAGCACTGAAGGGATGGAGTGCCTGGGTTGTATTAGTCATCCTTTCCTCCTCTTTCTGGCACATTTCTGTCGCCAGTGGATGTGGGAGCAAGAAAGCAAGTGTAGGCACGAGGTGGCTTTTTCCCACCCACTTAAGTTCAGACTGATGCTGTTGCCTAAAATTAAGGCATCAATGCCCATAGTGTGCCTGGGGAAGTATCATAGCTGGGAGCAGAGTCCTTGGGGCTTTTTTTAATCGTCTTTCTTTTTGCAAAGCTTGTGTTTAAGAAAGTAAACCTCACCCTGTCCTACCTTAGTAGAAAACACACAATAAACCAACCCCCCTTGTTGTTCAGAAAGAAGCTGTCTTAAATGCTGGTGGTAACAAATTACTTGGAGACACAAGCTGAAGGGAGCTGCCTGCAGCAATGTGTGGGGGTGGCATGTTGATGTGTGTTGACATATCACCTTGTTTCCCATGTTTTCAGGCTGTGAAACGGGAGGAGGAGATTTTCTGTTTTATCTACTCTGTGCCAGCCTTGTTTGTATTTGGTTTCATCCCACCCCTTCTGTTCAGCTGCTTTCTAAGACCAACAGCACCAAGCTTTCCATTTGCCTTCCCTGGGGGGGAGATTTCCTACTTCTTAATCTTTTTCTTTTTTTGTGTGTGTGTCTCCTTTGAGGTAGTCACACTATTTCTCTAAAAAGCCTTCACCAGGCATAAATGTCAGGTGAGCCTTATGCCTTCTGTGGTGACATTTTACCCTTTTTCCAGACCCTGCTCAGCCTTGTGCCTGGTTGGCTTCATCCTGCAGGAGGACACCAAGCACTGAGAGCCACTGGTGCCTTCCTGATCTTGCTGTGCTTCAACATATGATGAACCCACTGTTTCCTTTGTGTTTTCTAGCCACCCTCTGAATTTGTGGAATTCCTTCAGGCCTTTCTAGGGGTCTACATCCATCATGTAAAACAGTGGCCTCTATTCTGTGCAAGCTCTCGGGGTAATTAGAAGAGATTAACGAGATGTAGGTCTTCACTACAGGGATGGTATGAAACCTCTATGTAATGAACTTCCCACCATGATGTTTTTAATTACTATCTCAATCAATTTGTCAGAAGAGAGGTAAGTTTCAGTAGTTATAATTCTTCAGGCTATCCCAGGATACTTTTTAAACAATGGATCAATGGATAAAATATTTCCTGTTCTACAGTTCTATAGGAACGAGATTTTTTTTTTTTTTTCCTAAGAAAGCCAGTATATTCTTCATCTCTTTTAGCAAATGATTTCTTATGCTCTTCCTTGGACTTGAAAATTTGCTGATTTTTAAATATTCCAATGTTTCTTCCTCAAACATCTCACTTTTGGTATGATCTCATCTTTATCACGTCTTGCATCTCTCCAACATTCTTAACATTTAAGGTTGAAGCAAAGGAAGTTATTTAGCTTCTCAGCAATTCATTTTCCTTCCTGGCCTGCTTTTTTACTCCCTGTGATTTAGTACATCTACTGATTATTGGCTTTTTTTGCCCATATCTGATGACAGTTGTCTTGCCTCCATTTACAGGAGGTACCAAGAGCATTCAGCAGAAATTAGCTGTTGCCAGCAAATGAAAACTCAGCAAACAAATGCAAAACAATTAAAAAAAAAAGGAATCTGTGACCACAAGAATGCAAACATTTTTCTGAAGTACTTAAATGTTAAGAATTTGTATAGACCGACTGCTTTCAGTGGGATTACTCATGTGAGTCGAGGTAATTCCCTGGCTAGATGTCTCTCATTTATTGATTTTTGAATGTGAAAAATTGCACATGTAATTTGAAATACTTACCAACCACCTCTTTAACGTGATGGGATTGATGTTGAAGTCTTTTACCAGCCCGAGATCGTGGTACATGTGTTCCAAACAGCTCAGCATCTGCAGCCAGGGACAGACAGGTTATGGGCTTGGTAAACACCCCTTTATGATACACAGCAAAGTGAATTTCCTCCTTGCAAGCATCAAATAATGGCATAGCCCCTCTTGTTAAGATGAAAGAAGGATGTTCAAAGGTTTCATGATTAAAGACAGTGCAAGAGGGGAGACAGAGAGGGTCTGAAAGCTTTTTGAAGCAGGCATATTGCTGTTGACTTCGTAGCTTTTGTGCAGGGCTTTGAATCACACCAGCACTCTTCAGTAATGAAGCAATTCCCGCTCAGGAAAAAGCAATGACATTTTTCTAACTCATCTGGGATGTGTTCTAACGCTCAGCGAAATCAGTGGGAGCTTTTCCACTGACTCCAAAGGCTTTGGCTGTGCAGAAATGGATCAAGCCCTAGACGGATAGAAAAATGACAGCAGAAAATAAGAGATCCTAAAGTAACATTTATTCTAGGCATGTGTCAATACCATCTTTCTCTATGACTTCTTGTGAGTTCCTAATTCCACTATCTTAGCTCAGATCTCTCATTTAACACAAGATCTCCTGTTATAACCCCACAACATTGCAGCAGTTTTGTGACCATCCCCTCATGTAGACTGTAACTAAGAATCCCAGTGGTTGAAATGCAAAGGCAGGCAGCTCTTTTGAGACAACATCTGCTCTGCAGGAGAAAAGGGGATGCAGGCAATTTAGCACCACCATTCCCATTTAATCATTTAATCAAATATTACTAAAAAAAAAAAAAAGATACTGATAATCTCAAGTGTTTGGGTGTTCAACAGCAGCCACCAGTCAGAAATGAACAGGCTTGCAGGAATTCAGGAGTTTATATATCTGCATTCCCATTTCTAAAGGTTAAATCTGCAGGGGATGAAATGTAGCCATTGTATTAGAAAATGCAGTTCTTAGGCTGTGAAGCGAGCCAGGAGTTTCCAACATGATGAATACAACGCCACAAATACAGCCTTGGAGACATTTTTGGGTTAGTTTTCCCCTGTTTAGGCTCTTAAAAACTCACCGGAAAAAAAATGATTTAATCTAATGAAACTTTATGCTTATCCAGGGAATAAACATAATTCATGGGGTAACAAGTGGGCTGAGTCTGAGTCATCCAGGCAGGAAGAAACTTTCCTGCAAGACCTGAGGGACAGTGTCACGAGCTGAATTTTGCTCAGATCACATGGACAGCGTTTTGCTGAAGATCCCCTTGTCCTTGTCCTAGGCCCTGAGGTAGAATATATGTTTTGCAATAGTTTCATAAAAGACTTTCCAAGACAATAAACTTGATCCAGGAGGGCTGAATTGCCCTCAGAAATGCCTGTCTCCCCCCAGCTGTTGCCAAGAGAGCTTTGGGTGAGCGACAAGGTGACTCTCAGTCCCAAAGCTCTTGCCCCTGAACACATGAGAACCTCAGTTTTCATTTTTAGCTGTCTTGATCAGCAGCAAAAGCTTGAATGTGGGACTTCTTTAAGGCTTGAAAGTGAGAGGGCATTTGAGAAAGGGAACACAGGGTTTTGCTGCATAGCTCTGTTTACCGAGATGCTGCAGAGCACATTATTCATTTGCTTACAGATGATTATGGTTTATGACCTGCCTGTCCCACACGTGGGCAAACGCTGATTGCTCAACAAGCATTGACAGAATTGAAATATTCTCTGTAAACACAAACCAGAGCTAAAAGGGTGAGATAAACCCCATATGGTGCTCAGCTCAGTAGAGCTTGTGTGGAGTCTTATTTTTGAGCAGCACTCCTCCTTGCAGGGCATGTCTAATCCCCACACCCTCATGCTGGCCTCCTTCATGCCTCCATATAGTGTTTCCTATAGTACTCTGAATGAGTTACTGTGCTAAAATACTAAACCCTCAGCACACAAGAATCCGTGGATAATGGGTTTTGTTTCTCCTTATTCTTTCTTAATAGTCAGAACAACGAGCCAACAGTGTTATGGTCCACCTGTGAGAGTGTAATTCCTCCTTGCTGCAAAGACCTGACAGGAATTTAAAAGCTGTGGGCAAGGCAGATGTATGGCCATGGCACAGAGGAAAAGGGGCTGGAGAGGGAGCAGTGGTTGCAGAGCACCTCTGACCACACAAGGGAAGCTCTGCCAGCCTCTGCAAAATGGGAGATGGACCTAAAGCCACCAGAGAGTCCTTCTCTTGTTCTACCAGACACAGGAAATATCCTGCAGGGAATATGATGTTCCTGTGGATGCAGTATGGGGTGTTTTTCCCTTGTCATGTTGGACTACAGGTGCTGAGTCAGAGTGGCTCTTGCATGCACAACATCTGACTGAGAAGGTAATTAGGGAGATTGCTGCTGGGAGTGCTGCTGGAACTACCCAAGCCTTCCCTGGGGGAAAAATCCAGCACCAAGTTTTTCCTGAGGGAGATTTGATTGTATTTGCTGAATCTGAATTCACATTTTATTACAAGCTGTCCCTTCTTAGTGTCCTTCTCCCTCATGTGTCTACAGAGGTTTAAACCTCCTGCAACACAAGTGGTGAGCCATGAATAATACCAGCCCCAGCAAGAAAAAGAAAGAAGAAAATGAAGCAAAAAGAAAATACTAATTGGTTGTGCAGACAGCTTTGCAACCTCTTCAGAACACCCTGCAATGTGATTCACACCCCTGGGCTGAAGGGGTGTGAATCAATGCGTGAACCTCTGCCTGCTGCCTTATTGATCTGAGTGGAGTTATTGATGATGTGCTTAAGCACACACTTCGCTAGGGATTGATCTGTTCAGACAAAATGGTATGAGAGAACTCATGTGGCAGTAATGAGAGAGCACCAGTTGTGGGACATCACTAGGAAGGGACTAAATTAAAGAGGAATCAGCTAATGATAATCAGTATAATCTACCTGGCATCTGTTAGGAAAAACTACTGTATGTAGTTTGTGTGACATGAAAATAAAAGAAGTGCATAGAATAAGAAGCAGAAAAGGGTGAAAGCACTGCAGACTGTCTCTCTTCTGGCCTTGTTGATTCTCAGAAAGTGCTAAGCCAGCTGACATGGCATCCCTACCTCGTTGGGCTCCCACAGCCAGACGTCAAAGGTTGGTTTCCGAAGCGCTTCGATGGTCTCCTGGGACAGCATGTACTGCAGACAAAAAGGCACTTGGCGTAAATAGGGGTGTCCCTGGCATGGGACCTGCTCTTGGAATGTCTCTGGGACTCATGGGGTTCCATTTATGAGGGATTTAGCCCATATTTCCCAAGGATCTCTCCCAGCTGACCTCTCCTTCTTCCCACCCGACCCTCCTCACCCTTCCCACCAGCTGCTCATGATCACGCCAGGATGTCCATGCCTGATGGATGGAGACCCTTCTGGAGCAGAGAGGTGCGGGGTTTGGGAAAAAAGAGAGGAGGAGAGCAGAGGTGTTATGGACAGGGAAGTGAGTAAATCCAGCATTGTAATATAAAAGACACAGATCCATCTCTGTCTGCACTGGTTCTGCTGCCTGCAGAGCACGTCTGGTTCTGCTGCCTGCATCCAGTTACGGCTGGATGGTGTGAAGTGTCTCTGCTTACAGTGTTAAATTAGCTGGTGGGTATGATATATTTATTTTCACATGATTTATGCTCTCGTTTTGAGTGTTTTTTCAAGAACGCCCACAGTTTCAAATTGGTTGTCAGCCTGAAAGATTCAAGTGATTTTTTATCATTATGCTCAGAAGCTTAAAACAAAAATCAAGCTCATTCACCAGTTACAACTGCATACAAAATGAAAAAAAAAGGAACATGGAGGGTTAAAAGACATGGGGAGATCAGAGCTCTGCAATTCATCTTTCCAAGACTCTATTCATCAGAGTCTTTCTGGGACTCAAAAACCTTGTGGCTTTGATTGTCCCATTTACCATGGCTGTCTCTAGTTTGGGATTACTGCCCTGAGCAGGTGAACGACATTTTCTGAGCCAACAAACTTTTCTGATACTTAATCCTAGGAGGAACAACATCAAAGATCAGTTTTCCTTCTTGAGGAGGCAAGCTTTGCATTTGCCTGTATTAAGTATATTCAGTGTGACGTTGTTCAAGAAAACTGCACAGCAGCAGCACAGATTTGTTGCTGAGTACAAGATGCAACAGTGTTGTGGTGACATCTCCTTTCAGGGTACTCACTGCTCCCCAGCCTCACTGGCACGAGACAAATCCAGCGCCTGGCAAGTGATGACAAATTTCGCAAACCCCTCAAAACTGAACCCAAACTTCTAAACCCACAACTCCCGTGAGCTTTGGCTCTAGGAATGATACAGAAACACAAACTACCAGTTTACTCTGCAGCCAACAGTGCAGCTCTTCGTAGCACCTGTTGTTAGTTCAAATATCCTAATATCAGAGCACTACATCAAGGTTTGATCTGATATATATATATATACTTATCCAGGGGGAAAAAAAATCTGGTCTAGAAATTATGTGTGTTGTGAAATCGTGTGCTAGTGTCAGGAGCACAAACCTCTTGGGCAAAAGTTAATTAAAAGAAATATAAGTCCCATGGTCTTTGCTCCAGAGACCTGGAGGTCACTTTTTGCCAGGCAGAGCAGAATAAACAGCAGGATTTACAGCTCGTTGCTCTGTAAGGCTCTGAAGGCAAATAATGCAAGGATTCATGTCCATGTCACACATCTGCATCACACGAGGATTTCAGAGTGGCTGAGCCAGCTTCGATGTGTGCAAGCCCAGGGTTCAACCATGATTTGCACACGTGTGAGCTGCTGTTTTGTCAAGGTGTGAGCTGGGCACTGAGCAGACACAACCTGGCAGCCTTTAATAACTCCTGAGGGCAAAGGCTGCTGGGGCGAGGGCCAAAAATTCCTGTGCTCTTCGTGGTTTCAGCCTCATTCATCACTTGTGCTTGCCCAGGAGACATTTTTCTTCCAGTGTTACTGTTTTCTCTAGCAAATACACTAACTCATTTTCACAGGGACAATGAATCACTCCAGAGAGAATCCAATGCCGCATTTTCTCTTCGTTTCCCTAGGTGAAGCATCCCCGTAAATTACTATTTAAATTAAAAAATAATCCATTAGGAGAGAACGGGAAGCAGCAGTACTTTCAATTAGAGTACCACATTGCAGGGCATTTTGGATCGTTGCTATGAGCGTGGAGAATAAACAAATATAACCAGACAAAGGAGCGTTAAATGTTGATGAATGCAGAATGTTCATTAACATTTCAAACACTAATGAGCTTTCAAGTATTAAAGACTACTGAGGATTGAACTTTAAGTCACCGCAGGCAACGACAGCTCTTTCCATTGGCTTGCAGGGCTTTTGGATCAGGCTTTGGATTTAGAATAACTGGGAGGTAATGGCTAGGGAGTTGTGCATTGTAAAGCAGAGCTTGTCAGGATGGCAACCATGTAGCAGGATTTTGGGGAAGGGCATTGAGTGGTACCTTTGGGTAGGACGGTACATCCCGCCGGGGAGCCGGTCTCTTGTTCTCATCCAAAAAGCTGTACTTGCAGGGACAGTTAGTCCTGAAATGAAATATTCATCTCTTAGCGTGTTGGGAACACGCCTTGAAAAATGCTGTAAGTACTCTTGTCTCTCAGTAGGCATCCCAGAGAATTACCCCACTCCCCAACCTCTCCCTTTCTAATGTGGTGCTGCTCAAATGCCTTAAAAGTGTGATCCTCCTTAGGATTTTCTCCCCTTGTGCAACACCTCTGTTGTCCCTTCTCCATCTATTTGCATTCAAGGGAGGAGGATCTGTCTTCAGGCCTGTATCCATGGAGACTCAATCACTCCTATTTAAACCAAGTAACTCTTCCTTTCAGCGCTGTCCGTGGCAGGCATCCTTCTCCAAGGCTGGCAGAGCCCTGCCAGGGACCACACTGGGTATGGACACTGGCTCACCTGAGCTTATTTACTAGTCTAGGGCACCCACTGAGCCTTATTGCAACAGCAATGAGGCACAGACTCGGCAGACACGTCTGCTTGGCTCCCCAGTCCTGGAGGAAGGGAGTCACTGCCAGAAATTAACAGATGATTAACACTTGCCTGGTTATTAACACCAGCACCCACTGTCAGTTACCTGTTCTTCCTTCCTCTGCAGATTGAAAAGCCAAGCTGAGCAGAGGACCAGGGCAGACCTCATCACCCTCTACAGCTCCCTGAAAGGAGGTTGTAGCCAGGTGGGGGTCGGGCTCTTCTCCCAGGTAACAGGAGGAAATGCCCTCAAGCTGCACCAGGGTGGTTCAGGTTGGGCATCAGGAAGAATTTTTTCACTGAAAGGGCTGTCAAGCATTGGAAGGGGCTGCCCAAGGAGCTGGTGGAGTCCCCATCCCTGGAGGTGTTCAAGGAACGACGGGATGTGGCACTCAGTGCTCTGGTCTAGTTGACAAGGTGGTGATTGGTCAAAGGCTGGACTTGACGATCTGGGGGTCTTTTCCAACCTAAATGATTCTGTGATTCTGTAACTGGTGGTGGGAGATGCCCAACAGCCTTCCAGCCTTCCAGAACATCGAGGTGCTGCACTGCAGCAGGAGAGCAGTTTCTTGTCTTACAGCTGCAATACTTTAACACAACACGTGTTTCCCAGGTATTTGTTCACATGGGCTTTATTAACTCTCCTGTGAGGCCAGCCTGCTTGCCTTTTGCATTTATAGACTCATGGAATGGTTTGGGTTGGAAGGGACCTTAAAGATCATCTACTTCCAAATCCCCTGCCATGGGCAGGGATGCCATTTAGTAGATCAGGTTGCTCAGGGCCCCATCCAACCTGGCCTCAGACAGTTCCAGGGATCTATCCCTGTAGTTCTAACATTTGGATTATCCTTTCTCATTTTTCAAGCCTCCTGCCAAAGGAAGCAAAAAGAAACCCCCAAAGAAGCCAAGCAAAGCATTCCGCTAACTTTATTTGTCCCTTTTATGACCATTTCATACATTCTGTATTGCACCTCTTTTTAGTGCTCCTCTCCTCTGTTGGGAATTGGTCCAGGTGTCTTTTCTGCTCTTAACACTGATGTCTGCTACCATTTCTGGTGGCAGTGTCTGAATCCTGTGAAAGTTATGTCTTCTTACAGTTCATGGGGGTCAGCTGACTTCAACCAGCTGCCTTTTCCTGCCCTGTTTGAGGAGATTCTCAGTTGGTGAAAAGCTGTCTTAATCGTTTCTAAAGCTGTTTCCTCAAAACTCCACTGTGTGGGGTATTAGTCGGATAAAAATAGTGAAATTGGGGCATTCCTTGCCCTAATTGGAGCTGACTACCAGGGTTAGCTGAGGGTCAGCCAAATATCTCTAATTCCCAGCTGTAGTGAGATATTGAAGCCTTCATCCCAGCACACTGGGGAACACACCAGAGCCAGGATGCATCAGACCTTCACAAATGTAAAACTGTGTCTGCAAATGATCATGATTTCAAATGACACTATAATGCTATTAGCATCTGCCAGTGGTGAGTGCAAAAGGCAGACAAGCAGAAAGAAAGCAATTTGAGGGGATGCAAATGGGGGCTGCTCCACTTTTTGAAGAGGGGAGATGCACAACTCACTGTGCACGATGACTTTCATAAACCTGGCTGCTCAACCTTACTCTGTCATTTGGAAACAGCAAATATAAGAATAGGTAAACACACAAGAACACAGCTGCGTCCACTGTGATGTTATTGAAGGAATAGATGCACTCACACATATTTATGTGCATTAATTAAATTCAGATGTGATCCCTAATTGCAACTGCAGTGCATTATCTAGGAAATGACACTGCACAGGGGATGACAGGTCTAAATAGGAGCAAATACATTTCCACTTGCCCTGGGATGCCTCTGTTCCCCCACTTATCTCATTCCAAGGGGAGAGAGATTGCTCAGCTGCTCTGATGTGAAGCATTCCTAGGCTGGGGTCACTTTAGGCTAGTGGCATGGCTCCTGTGGAGTTATGGTAGCTTGGGAATAGGGAATCCTCAGCAGATAGGGTCCCTCTTAATGGCCAGCCACCAAGGAGCATCCTCTGCTCAGTCTTGTAGCAAAGAAGTGAGTTGTAGCCACTGAACCTATCTACATCCTGCTGCTGCTTGGAGACCCAAGCCCTTAGGGTACAGATAACCATGGACAGGATTCTGGGCAAGGAGGAGAAGCCTCTGTGCATCTGGGAGGAGGAAGACCCAACTCCAGGTAACCCAGAGGAGCTGTGACAGGCAGCTGCCATAACGATGCGACACAAAGTGATGCTGAGCAGAGCGAGTTGGGCTCCTGCTTCAGCGAAAGCAGCTGTGCAATGTGAGCTCAGAGCAAGCCAGTGTGGGTGTCTGTGCCCACAAATACCTGCTGGTGAGCTCCACACCCATTTTTACCACAGCTTTCCAGCCTCACACCCCACGCTGGTCCCTGGCTTTTCTCATATCTCACTACGAGCCCTTGGTGAAGATCACACCCCAGCTGGAGCCACCTGCACTGGGCACACGTAGCACTCCCCATTCTGTCTGTTCTTGTTAACAGACTGCTGTTTATACTACAGAACATAGACTGCAAGGTGACAAGACCTGCAAAAAGGAATGAGTCATGGCTGCTGAGACAGTCTCGTACTTCCTCAAGTGCGTGGTGGCAACTGCGCGAACACAAAGTTGCCGTCACTTCTGGTTCTGCTCTTAATTTTCTATCCACCCTGTGCATCACTGTGGTCCTAAGTGCAGCTCTCCCAGCTCCCTACAGCAGCTGAAGGAAAGACAGACGGGCACACACATTATTCCCCATCACTCCCGGCACAAATCAGCGCACGAGTTTTGCGCCTGCTGCCAACCCGAGCTCTGAGTGTTCCAATGAGATTTCCTCGCACACCTCAACAAGAGATGCTGCAAGCCACAGGGCAAGCTGCAGTCCACCCTACTGGTATAAATCTTGGGCAGACCTGAGGTTGATAATGTTACTCTGCATTTATGCCAATATGACAGCTAAATTTGGCCTCAAGACTTAATGGGAATGTATTAACGTTGTGCCTCCTGACATATCTGGATAACAACATTTATAAAAGCGGGTGATTGTACAGTCTGAATCTTTTAGCAAATCTCCCACTGCCCTCAATAGGAAAGAGCTTTGATTAAAGGTCAGAGAACTTGACCCAAGATGAAGAAAATGAGAGAGGCTGTCAGGACAGCGTATTTACATTTGCTGAGAAAAATCCTCTTCTGCCACGTTTTGAAGAACATGGTATATCCCTCTTCAGCAACCTTCCTGGAAGTACTCCTAATCTCACAGTGATGATTTGTTTGTCCTAATGAGATATTTCAGCAACACAGGAGGGGCACTTTCCAGCCAAGAATATGTACTGTACAAAAAGCAATTTTTTTTCTGCTGGTGTTTTAATTGCAGCGAAACCAAGCTTCACAATCACAGGGAGCCCTTGAATTAGAAATTCCCAATTTCTTGTTGAATTTGAAATGGATGATTTATAATAGCGTGAGGTCATTATTAGAAGAGCTGCTACATATTTATTTGGTATTTTCCCAGAATATATTGGAGCTGATTCGAGTGTTAGCTGCTTCCCAACCAAACACTGCACTGTGCAGAAGTTCTTTTCCCATTCCCTCTCTCCCAGTAAATCTGGATGAAGAATTCCCACTCTGTGTGGTGAAAAATAACTGTTGCAAGACCTTTCTCTCTATTCCCATGGCCCAAGCTAATTTAACTGATGAATGGCAATAGATCTTCAAAATGTTAAATTAAAGCCACCGTCCTTAATGGTTATTGGTTTCCTTGCTCTTTTACTTCTAAGCCCAGAAGGTAACTCAGTTCTGTGGAAATGTTGCATTAGGGTTTGAAACCAGATCCTTATTTCTGTGGTCAGGTCCAAAGAAGAACTTACCTGCTGCTTCTTGCTGCCATTTCCTCCCTCATCTTTTTAATGTCGCGCTTGCATTTCTCAATCTCCACCACTTTCAGGCCTTCCACTGTCAACAAAGGGAAACAACAGGGGTGTTACCATGGCAAAAGTCGCAGGATCTCGTTTCAAAGAGCTTTTTAACAGTGGGGTTATCCAGTGAGCCAGCAAGCCCTTACAGACTGCCTTGGTTCTCACACATGCAGGTGCTGCCAGAGCGATATATCCTGGAAACCCACAGGAATTCTCTGCTGCCAATTTAGTTAATAGCCACAGTATTTTAATTCACAGAATGGCTGCAGCGTCTCAGCTTTTCCAGGATTGTTAGCAGCAGTCGGCTGCTCCGCTGCCTTCACTTCTCTGCTGCAGAACACGAATCAAAGGAAATCCTGAGCAAAAAACCCCTCCCGCGATGGGGTGATAAGAGCAGGCAAACACGTCCCGGTAGGATTAGAATTCCCATTAAGATAAAAGGTTTTAATTTGAAAGTTCCATGCAGAGCATTGAGGAGCTCTGGGCTGCACTGCCAGATAGAGAAAAAACAAAGCGAGAATGCAGGGGGGAGAGAAAAACGCTGAAAAGTTTTGCTCTAATGATTGATTTCTCTCTCTCTCTCTTTATTTTTTTTTGTTTTGTTTTGTTTTAGGTATTGAAAACCTGTCACTTTGTTTTGCCGATCGATTTTGTAATCAAAAGGCTATTCCTGCATGAGGCTCAAAAATCCTATATTTCCCTACTGCATGTAATTGTGAGAGCCACAAGGCAAAAGGTTTGATTGGCTGCTTATGCAGCACACACTTTATTCCACGTAGCCACGAGAACCCAACTCAGTGTGAGTATGAGAATATTCTCTTTTTTTTTCCCCCCTTATTGGAGTATTATTGTGCTCAAGGACATAACACAGCACCACTTATTAGGTATATGTCATTCATATGCACTCATTTCACAGCTCATTTGTTTGCTGGACTCACTGTTTGCATGGACAAGCTGTGGTTCAGGGAACTCCGGGGAATGTGCAATCGGGACAATCAGTATTCAGTAACTTTCTTGGAAAATCACAGTCTGAATCACGCTTATCTGGAGAGCAGCATGTAAGCGATAAAAACCTGCCTCGAAGGGCACAACTCTGTAGATAAGCAGAGACCCCAGTTTTGTTTTTGTTTTGCCAGTAACAACACAAAAACAGATTGTTGAAACTGGGAGAGGGGAAAGAGATGTGTATGAATCAAGCCCAAAATATTAGGACAGGAAAGGGAAAAGGGTTTGATTTACACTTGTTTACAGGAATACCCTCTGTTTTAAAATCCCATTTGCAAATTTATATTTTTTTGGTCTATCATTGTTACAAGCAATTTCTTTGGGTGATCACAATGTGATGATACAGGTAAGTTGCTGTCCTGCTTATCAGGCTCTTCACTCTGGATACCTGGCTGCTCTGTTTTGGGGTATTTTGTTCAACTGCTGATGATCAGCTGCAGCTGACCCACAGGCCCCTTGCTGCAGTGTGCCACTTTGGTTCATTGATCCAGGGGAAATCGTGGGTATCCCATTTGCCAAGCTGTCTAAATGGTGGCTGGTGCCTGTTTGAAGCAGTGGGAGCAAAGCAGAGTTATCAGAGCGACAGGGAAGGAGGGCAGGCAACTGCAGGGTGGGGGGCAATTCTGGTGCAAAGTGGCAGCCCCGAGCATTTTTTTTCATACTGCATCTCCTTGGTTTTCATCCCAAACCTCTCCAGGGGAGCAGAGAATTTACATAATTATTTTCTTAAGGTAGATGTGAGATGCTTGCAAATTGCAAAGGTTTTTTTTTTTTTTTGCCAGCCTCCTTATTCATGTGTGGGCTGCTGTGCAAACACTGGAGCAGAGCAAGTGAAGCCACGGGACAAGGCATTCCCAGCGCTTGCTCGGAGTGGACTCATTTTCCAAGGGGAAGTGACAAGCTTTAGCTGGGATTTTAAAATCAGTTAAAGAATTTGGCTCCTTGAAAACACATCTCTGACGTGGTCTCTAGACAGGAACGGGAAGGAAGCTGAGAACATTCCATGTGAGGTGCAGATGTAGCGCTGTCATGAGCACTTTTCCCCACACACACACGTCCCCCCACCCCGCCCCGGGGAAGAAATCCTGGAGATCACATGTGGAAGTGGTGGAAAAGGGATCTCTAAAGGAGGCAGGAGTAAAGGAAGGCAAAGTAAAAGCACAGTTCTTTTCACATTTGGCTTGCAAATGATAAATGGCCTTGTCATGCACACTGATTAAGGGGCCATTATATTATTCTGCAGCAAGAAATACCTTCTGAAAAGACCCTGTGCTGTCTAAATAAATCCTTGGGCTGAATCCAGCAATGAAACATGGCTCTTAAAAGCAACCTCTGGGAGCCCAGCTCTAGCAGGGAGGTTGGACACTCCCTTTCTCCCACAGTTTTGCTTTTCAAACACGACAGCCAGGGATTCTTTCAGAACGTTGCAGATTTAGCTCCACTGCAAACTCTGGAAGTCCAGTTTCGAGCAGATGGGTGCACTTGCAGACAGGCAACCCCAGGAGCTCCTTCCTTCCCACAGGCTGAGGCTGCTGGAGCTGGGACTGAGAGTGCTCAGGGAGACTGGCAGCAGATTGGTACATCAGATGTTAATTCCATCAGCAGAGAGAACCCTCCTTTGGGGACCAGGGAGTTCAGTTCACCTGCATGGCACAGCAGTTCAAGATAGGCTGTGTGCAAGTGCACAACTTTTTCCTGCTGGCAGTGTCATGATGTCCTTCCTTATCTCCCTCCACTGCCTTGGGTTGCCAATGCTGAAGGGCAGCATGTGTGCCAGGGATCCCAGGGGATCACCAGGAGTCAAAAGCAGCCTTTTTTGGCTGGGATAGTTGCTTCCCTGCGCTCCCAAGGGGATAGAAATACCCGCAGGAACGTTTGCCTCATTTGCTCTGGTCCATGGCATTTAGCTCTGAGCACTGGAGCTGGTCAGAAGTTTCACTGAAAATGCAGAGTGACTGAGCTAATTCCACCCCCCTCCTTCTTTTGGATAAAAGAATAAATCAGTGGAGCCCTGGGAAAAACAGCAGCCAAACAGACAGGAGGAATTCCTACTCAGGCTTTTTGCTGGGTTGTAGGCACACTGCAGGTTACCCCCTCCATGGACATCCCACAGCACCAGGAGCCTGAGGCTGGGCTGGCTGCAGGGAGAAGAAGGACATTTTTGCCTCTCCCTGCTGACAAAGGCATCAGTCTCACTGAGCAGCTTCAGGGTCAAGGTACCTTCTGGTCAGGGGAAGTTTCAGGAAAACAACTTCTTCCATGAAACAGAAACTTTTTTTTTTTTCTCTTTTTTTTTCTTTTTTTTTTTTCCCCAGACAGCTCTAGTGGAAAAGTGCTTTCTGCAGCTGCAGTGCTGGGAAAGGCTCTGCCCACTCCTGACTCCAATGCTGTGCATCCTCAAGGATGTGGCCTTTGGAATCAAAACGGTGCTGGGTGACAGCGCTTTATTCATACCCCTTCCCCGCCTCTCTGGGACCTGTGTTCTGCATAATATAGTGAAAACAACTCAGATACTGCACAGGGGGTTAAAAAAACAACCAAAAAAAACAGGATAGGAGCTCTTGGACCCGCTGAATTCAACGTGGTTATCGCACAGTAACGACATGGCTGTGTTACGGTGCAAGTATCCGACTGACAGGGGAGGAGGGCAGTGGTGTTCCCCCCTGGAATTGCAGACCAATTGCACCAGTGAGTGCTTTAAGGGGTCAGGGAGTGTGTGTGTAGAGGGATGGGGGGTCGCTGCTGGGTGCAGGGAGGTGACAGGATGCTGGGTCAGGGGGGACATGGGAGGACAGAGCAGGGGTCTGGGATGTGGAAGACGGAGAGGTGGGCAACGGAGACCTTCTGCCACAGGGACATGGGAACACGTCCCAAACATTTATTGGGCCCAAACATCAGCAGAGGGCTCGGGAGCCCCTCAGAGGGGAGGTTGGGAGGTGATTTGGGTGCTGGACACCAACCATCCCACGCTGGCCTCACTGTGCCACCACAGGCTCCCACCATCCCCACGCCTCATCCCACGTCGGCCTGCAGACTTTTGGGCTCAAGGCTGGCCAAATGATGAGGGATTAGGAAAACAGAGGGGGCTGTGATCATAGCAGGGGGGATTCTGAGGCACCGGTTCCCACTGCAATAGGAATAAAGGGACACTCACATTCAACCTTTTTCTCCAGCATTGCCAAGTGATTAGCTACTTCCGTTTTCAGCTCATTGATTTTAAAAACCCTGAAAAGAAAACCCTCATGTATTAATGTTATACATTTAGTGCTGCACCTACCCTAGGTACTAAAGGACTTTTGCTAGAAATGCCTATATTCTTCTAGAGGATGGATCTGCCCAACTGTGACTGCCACAAGGAAAAGCAAATTTTCCACGGAAATGCTAACATTTGGGCAGAAAATACTCCCGGGTTTAATTTGCGGAAAAATTAACAGCAAATGATCTTTTTATGGCCCTGGGAATGTACTGTGGCTCTGCAACACTTCATCACCCCCTCTCTCAGCAGTGACTTGCCACTGTACCCCCCCAGGGAAGCAAAGTTAAATTGATAATGCTTGGTCTAACAGCAGCGTCTTGGTGTCTGCACCCTCTGAAGCCCTCCTCCTCTCCTCCTTTCGAGTTACACTGGTGATTTGCTGAGCTGTGGTGGGATTGATCTGCCTTATTGAAACCAGCTGGAATAAAATAAGCAGCTGTACAGATGTTGAGAAATCCTCTCGGAGGAGAGACGTTTTTGGGTGATAAAGGGGAAAATGAAACAAATCAGATGATTTGACTGTTCAATGAAGTAGTATTTCTTTTGCTTCCTAAGAGGGAAGGAGCACAAGAAAAGCATTTATATTTCCTACTTCATCTCCTTTTTAGATCAAAGATAATCACCAAAATCGCTTTTGGTTTAAGCTACTGTATTGCTGTCAGCAGGAAATAACACGTGTCCCAGACCTAAATTTGGCAGGCAGAGTGGGATTTGAAAGAAGTCTTAAATGCCCCTCTGCCTCCTGTGAAAATTTCACTTCAGGCTGATAAAAGAAATAGCATTTTAAATTAATAATGATGTTCAACTTCTTACCTCGAGAACTGCTCTGCAATCTGTCCCAATAAATTCTGGAACAATTCTTCTTTCTCTGAAAAAAAAAAATCAGAGGTAGACATAAGAGAAAAACAGAGGAGAAAAGATGCCCTCAGCTCCCCTGCAATGTGATGTCCCCAGACTTCCAGCCCCGATGGTGAAGCATTTAGCCAAAAAATTGCTCTGGTCCTTTGAACAGTGACAGGGTTTGGGAATGACTCCCCGTCTCACCTGCCTTCCTCTGCCTGGAGACTACAGTCAGGGTTTCTCAGAAGTTTAATTTTTGGGTCCCTGAGAGCTGGTTTTCTTTAAGGCAACACTCTTTGGACAGTAGACACCTTTCACATTTCCTGGGTGGGACACCCGGAATCGCCGTCCGTGTTTGAAAGGTCTGGCTCACAATTACTGCCCCTACACCACCAGCACACTGTGACAGAGCACCCATTAACAAGGCTACAGCTCATGAACGCAAAAAAAAATATCCAGATTGCCTTCTGGTTTTACACTGGGACGTTATTTTGGCGCAAATTCGTAAGGATCGTGCTGCTGTGCATAAACTTCAGGCAAGCGTGAGATGACAAAGTGACTGCCCTTTAAGAGGGAGGTCCACCCTTCCTGGTTTGTGGGATGGACGCAGCAGGGTACAATCTTCCCAGCGCCTTTCCCTTGAGAACGTAACTGGGACAGAGCTGCCACAGGGATCCTGTCAGGGTCTCACTGCTTCCTGAGCTACTGCAGCAGTGGCCACACCGGGAATGCTTGTGCCGGCAGCTCCCCACCTCCCACTCCCAAATCCAGCTCTCAGGCTCTTCAGCCGGCTCAGGTGAAGCCCCAGCCTCTTCCCAAGACAATCACAGCACTGCAATCACTAACATAGGGAAAATCAAGCGAGCCCTTAAAACAGGACCCTAGATTTCGAGGGACAGTACACTTCAGGAAGGAAGAAGTAAGATAGCGATGTTTTCCCATCTTCCAGTGTGTCCACACTGTGTTCACACAGACAGGGGGAAGTATAAAGCGCCTTTGCTGGACTGTGAGCTGCTGTTTTGAGACTGCTCCCTCCTTCCCCCACCAGCTAAGGCAAACTGCACTGGGCTGCAGTCGTTCCTGTTCCTGTACTGGGGCTGTACTCTTAGTTGAATGCACTCACATACAGCTCACAGATCACAGAACACCCATTTATACCCCACGTAGAAATACCCTGATGGCATTTCTGCAGCTACTTCATGCCCTTCCCTGAGGGAACACGATGCCTCATGAGTGCAATCACCCAGGCAAAACACATCAGACAGAAATACAGCCCAGCATTTACAATGTATTTCTAAATAATAGCTCTTGTACCTGTTGAAAGGATTTGCAATTCCTCAGGTATTAGAGATGTCAGAAACACTTGTCAAGAGCATTCATACTGCTGGTCAAAACAATTTGGCTGTTACCCCTGTGCCTCTAAACTGGAGCAAGCAATCTGTGCTCTGCAAGTCTCAGATCTAATTCCCTCTTCTTTTTTTTTTTTTTTTTTGCTATGATCCAGCTCCCAGTGGAGTGGCTAGCAGAGCAAAGGAAGAGATTAGTTCTCTTCACAGGGACCCATTTTTCAGTTTTCCCACAAAACCCAAGCGCTGAAACAAAGCAAATGCCATGTCCCATTTAAGGCAGGAGAAAAACTTACCGAGTGCTGCACCTGGGATGGCACCCGAGTCAGACAGTGAAAATAAGCAGAGAAACCCGTGTCCTCTCACTCCGATGCTGCTCAGCCCTCTGACAGTGGCTGTAGCGTGCCAGAGACTGACAAGTTCCCTACGAGCACAGTTCCAGTAAAAAAAACCCCAACAATCTTACTTTCACTCCCTCCCCCTGTCAAAACTCACTTGGAGTACTAGGAAATTCTCATCCAGGGAACAGTCAGCTGCAATCTGATGTTTATGGACGTAATAAAAGACTTTCAAAACGAAGATGTATGTTTTTATAACCCTAGGGTGCAGTAAAGATATATGACTAAGAGTGGCAGTTCGTCTCATCTTAAAGAGACAAAGATCCATTTCTCTGCCCTGTTCCTTTCTGAGGGGAAGTCCTCTGGTAACCCCTGTTTTTGAAGGAAATGAGACATTGTTCCAAGACCATGTAGTCTTGCTTGTCCCCTCCTTTGTAGAGCAGGAGGGTTAGGTGTGCTTTTACTCCCTTTATTACCCTCTGTCTTCTTTTTTTCCTATATACCTCTGGGCAGGGCTGATACCCCAGGTGCACACAGGTACCTTTTCCCTCAGCTTCTTCATTTCTTTTGCTGTGATTCCCTCTGTGGAAGGGAAACCTTATTGCATGCAGCTTGGGCACCTTGCTCAGGGTTTCCTGCTGCAGCGCCCCAAAACCCAACAGCAACTCTCTTCTCACCTCACCACCCCCCCACAAGAGCATTGCCGTGACCGTGCAACCTTTGCAAACGCAGGTGCTCATCAGTCCAGATTTCTGCACGACACACAGGATTGTTTTACAGCTGAGAGAAGAAAATCAGAAAGCCCCCCTCCAGAAGATGCTGCAATGGTGTAATTCTGGGCAGGGGATGGCCAGCTCAGGCTTCCCCGGGCTTCCCGAGGCTCATTCCCGTGCTCGCTTTGGGGCACAGGGACTTGGGCTCCTTGCCCGTTGGCCGCTGCCAAGCTCAGCAGGGAGCTTGGCTGGGACATCACGGAAGAATGAGCCATTTTGCCTTGTCTCCAGCAGGTCTGGGAAGAAAGCAGGTGCGGGGGAATATGGCAGGAGCATTTTTTCCTGTGACTCCTGCTGTGGCTGGATCGGAGGGCTGGCAGAGAGCACACACCTTCCCTGCCAGGGCAGGGACCAGGGACACACTGAGGCAGCTCAGGTTACCCTGCACTGACACAGATGGTTTATTACCCACTGCCAAGTGCCCTCTGCTTTGCACCACCCTGCTCAGCAGTGGCTCTTCCTCTACCCTCTTACCAGCTGGGATCAAGGCCAGGGAGCCACCTCCGTCCTCCCCATCACCCCTTGCCATCCAGGCTGCCAGCAGGGATTGCATGGGGTTGTGGGGATGGCCTGGTTTCCCTCCATCTTTTCTGCTGTGGCCAAGCAAGGCTGGGAGGACATGGGCATCTCCCTTTCCCTGCCAGCACCAGGCTGGTGAATGCCTGACACATTTCTCAGAAACGATTCTGCCTCTGGCTCGGGCTTCTGTCTGAATTTCGCTTTCCGTGGTTTGTTTGGATCTGGGCAATCAGGGTAATTAAAAAAAAAACTTCAGGTGGACAAAAGCCCCAGGAAGGGGTGTGGGCTTCAAGCCCACATCCATGAATCACACGGAGCACCGAATTCACTTGGCAGCTCGGGTTAATTTGGGTTGCTGCACCCAAGTTCCCAATCAGGTGAGTAATCCTGAAGCAGCTGGCCCCATCCCAATGCACGCATCCATGAGGGGGATGCATGCAAGGAGTAGCAGACAGGAGGAGGATTTTGCTCTCACAGTCTCTCTTTAGTCTTGCCTGAGCTGCAGGCGTGAATAAACCTCCAAAAGGAGAACAGAGATGTTCCAGAATAAGAAGGTTTAGACACAGTGACAAGCTTCTGTCTCTTCACCAGCAGCGATCTGCACAACATCTTGTGTATTTAATCATTTGGGGAGGGAAAGCATTCCCTGCAGATCTCTGGTGCAGTCATTGGTGGGCTCAGTGGGGTGGGCAAGGCAGGGTTAACAACAGTTCAGACGTGGGCCCTCTAGCAGGCAGCTACACACGTCTCGGTTGTGCTGTTTCTCCCACTGCAAGCCAATATTCCTGGGGAGAGACCCTCTGTCCTAGAGAGCATGCAAGCTGAAAAGGCAAATAACTGAGCAGTAGGTGAAGTGGGAGGTGAAGGCTCTGCCTACGGCCTCAGCCTGGCAAAGTGGCTCCAATGCATGGCCAGGATCCTGTCACTGGGCTGCTGAGCATGGAGGGGCAGGGGGGAGCTCTCCCCATGTGCTGACTTGTCAGGCACTGCTCTCTTGGGTTTGCTCACCCATTTCCCCAGGGATGAGGGGATATTTGTGTTGAAGGATCCACCAGAACGAGCCGGAGACAGAGGTGCAGAGAGAACTTGGGACAACTCAGCACATCTTGCGCTCTTTCAGGTCACATCCCTGGTGAGGTCTTTAATGACTTGGTCAGCCACCCGAGTGCTTTGTTGCCCAAACTTTGGAGCAGTAGGAAAGTCCCTGTGCAGGTTTTCCTGCCCGTTTAGGACTGCAGTGGATCGGACTCCCTTGATCTGCCACAATAGCTCCTTTCTCTGCGCTATCAGAACCCATGACAGACTCCAATTTTATTTCTCAAGAGCGTGCTGCTAGTAGGATTTGTTCATTTAATTGTCATCTCCGTCAATACTGCAGAGTGCCTGAACCCTGCTAATTAGAGTGACAACACAGCCATTTGGTTGTGAGTTTTGAGCCAGTTCCACCACGAGGACACAGACCAGAGCCCTTCTGCTCGTCGGGAGGGAGAAGATGCCAGCTCAACGGGCTTGGGAGTTTTAACACCCCAGAGAGAAGGAAGGGTTTGGCACCAGGGGTTTGATGCTCTGCTTGGACAAGCCATGTGCCTTCTGGTCCAGGGCCACAGGAGGAGGGACAACACATGATGCAACAGTCCCACAGGCTCAGAGCAGCTCAGCCTTTGCCTTTGCCTTGCAGACAGCTGACCCCTGATGCAGCAATCGCCGCTGCATCCAACCCTCACTGGAATCATAATTTTCTTGTTTCCAACCGTCTCCCATGACTGTGGCCAGGAAATGAAGAATGGTTTCTTAGCAGGACTCCGGTGGATATCTCCTCTGCTGGATGAAAGCCACTGCTTATATTTTCCTCCCAAAAGATCATATTTTCCAGTCCCACCTTTTACAGTCTTTGTTCTGCTGAAGTGTGTGTCGTTCTTCTCCAGCTGCCTGGGAGACTGATGAAAAGAGGTGCATTGCCTCCCACCGCCGTGAAAATTGGGGTGACCCCCTTTTCGGCATGTATTTGGATGAGTTGCTTTGGGAAGCAGAATCACACAGGCAGAGTTGTTTAAGAAGTGAAGACTAGAACAGAGCTGGGTTTTTTTTTTTTTTAATGAAGAGGAACAATTTCCCACTCTGTTTATTCTTCCTACTCTCAGCAAAATGTCAGGAATGCTTAAGATTAATGACAACCCATGTGAAAGAGAAACAGATACCAAGGAACATTAGTTCCATCACACTCAGTTCAACTTTCGTCCCCTTTCCACAGCAGACTCTGTCTTATGCTTTGGCAACCTGTGTCCAGAATTTTTCTTGCCCTTTTCAGCTTAGATCTTTGGAAATCCCTGTTTTATAAAATGCAGGGAGGGAAGAGAGATCTTTCTGACACAGTGAGCTATGTTCTGCACAAAGCAGAGCCATGTGCTGTCAGCTGGGGATGAAGAATGAGGGCCTTGGGAGAGTGAGAAAAGTTACACACGGCCTTATAAAAATATACGGTTAGCTTCGTGTTTGGGGAAAAAAAAAAAAAAAAAAAAGTAGATTTTCTAGAAATCTATCCCAACTGGTATAACACAGTAGCATTCCCTGGTAGAGCCATGCTGGCCCCATTTGCTAGTCTTTGTCTTGGGGCAAATGGCTACTGGTTACCCACACCAGCTGGCACAGAGGGAACACGTGGCCCACCCCACCTTTTCTGATCTGATAATGCAAACAGCTGCACTCCTGGACCAGAGGAGTGATGCTGTTCCAGCAGAGTTTGTCACAACAAGGAAACAGTTGAGGAGACAGCTTCTTTTCCCTTGGCAGCCACGTGTGTCCCTTGGCTTTGACTACCTCCTTCTGGCAAGGGCGGCAATCACTGACATGGGACCTGTACATGGCTTGTCACAAATCTTACTCTGGTTAAGCTCTTCCCTCTTTCACAGCCTCTTTGTTCTTCCTGCTCTCCATTTGCCTTTGTTCTCTGCGTGCACAGGCTCCCTGCTGTTGCCTCCCTGTCTCCCCCACATCCTCCTACACTGCCTTGCTGTGCCCGTTTCCCTACAGATGTTTCTGCCACAGTGGATGCCTCATGGAGTGCCGTTGGTTCCCTGTGCCTCCCCATCCAAAAGAAGGCAGCGCTGTGAGACATTTCCTTACATAATACAGGAGCCTAAGCAAGAAGAAGAGCTGGGACTTGCAATTACCGTAAGGAGGATGATGAGGTGGGACCAGCAGGACTGCATCACTCCTGTCCCAGCAGACTCACCCGTTCCTGCAGACTACTTTTTCCAGCCCCAGGCTTTCTGTCTCACTCTTGTCCTTTCTGTGCACGCTGTGTTTCCAAGATAATCTTAACCTCTTGCCCTCTGTCTCTCCTATCTTCCCATTTTACTGCTCCAAACAGTGTCCTCAGCTGACATCTCCTACTCTCCTGCAGTCCCTGCCTCAGCAGCTATTCCCTGTAGCTCCACAGTGCACAGGCTCAGGCTCCTGCTCAGGCTGCATTGATGTGAGTGGCAGAAGATGCTGCAGCTGCACAGAGGAGCAAAACCACGAGCCAGATGCTTGACAGGAATTGCCCCAAGCAAATGTCCTGCTCCAGTGTCTGAGAGCTACAGCCCTGAGCATGACACTGGCGGGCAAGGAGGAATGGCAAAAGCACCATTTCAGTCCTGCCTGTGGAGTACAACAGTGCTGTGGCTGAGGAATGTGTTCCAGATGTGTTCTTTCACCCAGGCGTTCTTTAATCTTGTCAGGTGTATTTAAATATTTATCACACTTAGAGCTACCGTGCCCACTGCAGAAATTATGTTCTCTCCTCACCCATTTGGAAATAACGTGGGGCTCAAAGGTTGTGCTCAGCTTTCCAGCAGAGCTTTGATGAGAGACGAACAAGTTTCACAAAACACTGCAGGACAGGCTTTCACATATTGTCTGTGTTGCCTAAAAAAACCCCCACTGCTCCATGCAAGACTTTTCCAAGGGCATCAGGAGTGATGAGTCAGACCAGGGCTAGGCATGGGGAAAGTCAGCCATTCACCTCACCCTCAAATTCTTTGAAATCTAGGGGCATTTTTTAAGCTTCCCTCCAAAACACTGTGATCAAACAACCTTTATTCTGCTGCAGCCACAACCACAACACCGTCACCTTTCTTTCTTCCATCATAGCCACGTAATTTCCACGCACAAATGTTCACAAATTCAGCGTTAGTAAATGAAGTACAAAAGGGTCGTTTTACCTGTGAGCTGCTCGGTGGCAACAGGTATCACTTTGTAAGGAGACCTGGAAGGGTCAAAGAGGGTTGATGTTAGCAACACTCAAAATGCAGTTTGTATTTCGGCCACTTTCTCTGATTTGCTAGAGGCAGAGAGATCTTTCTTGTGCTGTACGGCCATGCAGCGGACACGGCAAAAGTGCCTCCTCTTTGGCAAGCCTTGACAGCTTATGGGCTGATTTGGTGAGGAAATTTGGCAGCTCAGAAGGGAGCCCCAGTGGTGGGGATCATCTTTTTGCTCTGTGTTCTCACACTGTCCTGCAAATTCAGCTCCCTCCCAGCTGCTGGGGCTCCACCACACGGTATCAGTGAGGGTAATGGCAGTGACAAACAATAATGAAACAAGGAATGAAGGAGTAACTGCCAGCAGTCAGGGTGAAACTGAAAGTGCTGGGCTGCACAAGCAACAGGAAACCAAAGAGGAAAAAAAGAGAAAGGGATCTGGAGCTGGGAAGGGCCAAAGCCAGCATGGGAGAGACCTAAACTCATCAAAGGCTTGGGCTTCGCTGTCCAAGTAACCTCCTGGTTGTGCCCTAGCAGAGCAATAAGGAGTGAGGGAACAAAGGAGCTCAGAGCCTTGACAGCAAACAGGGAGGGATGGCAACAGATGTTCGGCATTAATTACTTGAAAGGAGTATTTTGGCCTCAAATACTCCTACTTTAAAAACAAGTAAAACTCTTCAAAACCAGCAGGCATTAGTGCTAGAGGCCAGCACGCATTTCTTACTGTCATCCCCCTCCCTCCAGGGAGTTGCTCACCTCCCACTGCACACAAAAGGCAACTGCAGGTGACCACCCCTTTTCCCTTGGGCTTGTCCCTGGTTTTGTAGAGCAGATGGAAGCAGGATTTACCTCTCTGTGTTTGCAGGCATTGTCGGATCGATGGACACCATGCAGTTGTCCGCCGTCAAAAGGGAGATGGTCGTGTTCCTGAAAAGCACGTCCCAAAGAGGATTGTTTGACCTCGAATTGCTGGCTGAAATCCTCTCCCTGGCCTGGAACTGTCTGGGACCCGTGTTACCTCAGTGCAGAAAGGGCCAAAGCACAGGACAGGGCAGGCTTGATGCTTCAACCACTACAGTTACCAGACATGTTTCTGGTAAAATGTAAAGCGTGATCATCTTTGATCTCAGAGCAGACTTTGCTTCCCTGCTAACTCATTTATTCTGTCGACTCACTGACTAATAATTTCTGTGAAAAAGCTGAGTTTTCTGATACATTGACTCAGCAACTATGTATTGACTCACATTATACAAATGACTATTGGTGCTATGAACGTCTTCAAGTTATTTAGTTACTCTTTTGCCAAAACAAACAAAACAAATGTCTTGTTGAGTATGGGGTCTTGATTGTTGTTTTTTTTTAATACTGTGCTAAGTGTGATCTCGTAGGCTCAGATGTAAACCTTGCAGGTTTACTTTGGCTCCAGGAGCCTGATTGAAAACCCACAGTCCTTTGGAAACCTTCTAGTGAAAATAAAATGCCAAATATGCAGTGAACACCCTGATCATGAATAACTAAAACAGCTAAACAAAGATTCCTGGGTGATGGAGTGGAAATATTTGACATGATAGGCAAATGAGAGTTATTAACCTCTCTAATGTCAAATGGGAGGAAATAGTCAGAATAATCAGCAAAGGGCATTAATTCTGTCCAGCAACTTATGCAAATTCTGAGTCAATACAGACAATTTTATCTTTAAATCCTCAGAGATGGAGTCATGCAATAAACCCATGATTCTAGAGGTGACTATGGGGCTTCCCTCCCCTGCTCCACTGCCCTGGACAGGTGGTGAAGAAGGGGATGGGTGCTACACTGTGCCACCCTCCGCCACACACCAGCCTCTCCCACTGACACACGACCACACCTGATCCTGGATCCCTCTCAACACCAAGTTTCAGCTGGATGCTGCTCTCTAGCTTGAATGTAAGAGAAGCAAACCCTAGAGGAAATTACAGCAGGAGGGGGGGATACACGGACTTTGCAGGACCACATAAATTAGGAAATACTTGCCCTGGGCAATGGATATGGGGATATTTATATTCAATAAAATGGTTCTGCTGGGGTACTTTGCCTTTGATTATCCCATACCTGTGATTAGATTGCACTACATCTAAATAGAAAGCTTATCACCTAGTGGCAATGATTCTCATTGGCCCCAGATTTTGCCCAGAAAGACAGGTTCTAAACATATGGCTGCATTTCACTCAATATGGGCAAAAACGTAGTGCTGAGGTATTACTGGCAGAGATTTTCACAGCCTCTGTGTACTTAGGGCTGAGCTTCTGCACCTGGCTTTATTATTTTAGATTACATCTCCCCTGTTCTACTCTGTTCCACTCTGTTCCTCAAGCACAGCCAGCACTGAAGTGGCTCAAAGCCCTGCCAGAGCTTCCACACTTTTCTGGATTGTCCCAGTTTCTTCTTTCAGTAGACTGGAAGGAGAGAGGAGCCTGAATAGCAGCTAAATAAATCATTTGGAACCTATCTCTAAATTGTTCCCAGTAGTAAAGAGACAGAAGTGAAATGAATGTCACAAATGAGAAGTCAGACCTACCTCGGTAACCCTGTTGCAATGCAGCAGAGGTCCATGATGTCTTTGGAATTGCAGTATTTACTAAAGATCACCTTCCAAACGGGACAGCAGCAGGGGGAAAAAGGAAGATGAAGAGAAAGGACGATTAGTTCCCAGTGAGATACGAGCTTTATTCAGGCGTGAACTTGGCTAATTTTAAGGCACGTTCTGTGATTTCAATTATCTGATTATCTGACTCGTGAGCTGGAATATTTCTCTGCTCCTGTTTTAATACCTGTGTCTATTTCGATAAAGCAAGAAAGCCCTGGAGGCCTAATTGCTGTTCAGAAGTAGAGCAATAATGAGCTACTGAATGAATAATGAACAGTGAACTGAGAGCAAAAAAGGTGTCTGATAACGCAGTACTGCTGCGGGGCGATAACAACTGTAAATTTTAGGATGTAAGAACCCAGATTTAGGAACAAAACAGCCTTGATTTGGGGGAGTCCTTGCATGTTAGAAAAGAGCACTGCTACCAGTATATGCTAGCTGTAAACTGAGCAGAGGGTTTTTCCCCCCAGCCTGTGCCAGATTTCCTGACGACTGTCGGGTTTTATTGTTCCTGCTGCTAGGTCAGAGCTCAGACCTGGAATTACAGAATTTGCCACTCTTACCTTCCCATCCCACAAACACTTCTTCATCCCCCCCAGCCTTCACAGGCAGCCCCTGTACAGAGAAGACTGAGCAGTGCATCTAAGGAGTGCAACATCCCCCTGATCCCATTGCGACACGGCCTTCAGTGACCCATTCCAATGCTAACATTTTTTCCCAAGATTCCTGCGTCCACCAGGACATCTGGGTGATGTTTCCTCCCTGTCTGAGAATCTCTTCTGCAGCTGGGGTGCAGAAAGCACCTTAATAATACCACTGTAGTGCTTTTCATCAGCCTCACTGCACCCACGTGCAATGTTTCACCTCTGTAATCTGCAGGTTATTTATGTTAAATGACTTGCCCAGTACCTTACCATGGCTAAGTGGCAGGCCAGAAATGGAACCCAGGAGTCCTAATTTGATTTCTCTTTGGATTCAGAGACAGCATTCTGCTGTCTCTGAAAGAAAACTCTCAGGAATTCAACAGCAGCACTCTGCACGAGGAGCCTCCCGTTCCAATAAATACGTGGTTATAGGATAACTGAGCTCCACTGACCGAGGTCCCTGAGGTTGCTTTCACTCCAAACTCTTGTGTCCCCTGTGGGTACACATTGCCCTATCAAACCTTTCAGTGCTCTAAACCAAAAGTCTTGTTCTTAGTGGAAGTACTGGGGGAAAAGTAGCCATCAGAAAGTACCACCAGTGGAAAAAGCAAGCGTGGGTGGAATAAAAAGAAACTGCAGGCATAAGAATATAGGATTGAGTTTTAATGCTTCTACCAGTGTTGGGTCTCTTCTCTCAGAGAAAACTCACTGTGTGGGTGACTGTGGTGGAGGCTTTGAACCCGATGTGGAAATCAAGTGCCTCACAGCAGCTGGGTCCAGCTCACCTTTCCAGAGCCAGGAACAGCAGAGAGCACTGGGGATGGTTGGTCTGGGGCTGCTGGTGTTACTGGGATGGCTGCAGGGGCTTGCAGTGGGGCAGCAGTGGTGTGGAGAGGGGCAGTTTCACATCAGTGACACAGTTCAGGGGTCAGGAACTGTTCAGTGTTCAGGATGCAGCAGCTCAAAGGGACCTGTGGAGGCCTAATGGTAAAACTCAGGAGGAGCAAGACTGTGGTATTTTGCAGATGAGATCTGAGGCACAGGGAGAGATCAACGTCAAAAGTCTACTATCCTTGTAAGTGCCTTGCTGGAAATGCAATTTTCCACCCCCTGCAACCACTTGTAGCATCCCATATTCTCATGGTTTCTGCTGCCAATCAACACAGATACGAGGGATATGCATGCCCACAGATCAGCCTCGAGGCTGGTGACCCAGAAAATGAGGAATGTGTCACCTGGGATGACTGCTGGGAGGAGGCAGGGGCTGCAGGAAGGGGGGCTGCCTGCAGTGGGGGCTGGGGCTGCTCTCCCTGGATCGAGCAGGCCCTGTAAATTCAGTGAGGCGAGGATCATGCTGGAAAAATAACATGTCATCATCTAATTAAAGACTCTCCCAAAAGGTGTAGGTGCCAGGAGGTAATTGAGCCTGCAGCCTCGCTCCAGCAGCCTTGGCCTTCGAGTGCTTTAATTCCTGAATTGTAGGAATGTGCCTTCTCTGAGGTGCCTTTCGGACACCAGGGGAAATCCCTGACCTGGAGGGGTCACACGGTGAGGACCAAACCTCTGCCACTGGCAATGGGAAAGCCATGGGAGAGCCCACAGGATGCTCTGCCAGTGAGGGGCTGCTAATGCCTGCTCAGAGCTTGGGG